AGTCAGTCTGGTTCCATTTGGCTGCGGTCTCTGCTTTGCACACAGTGGCACTGAGGGGAAGCGTTGGAGAGCCAGGTGCTCAGTGATGCTCATGCTCCAAGAGTTAGAGATGTCCAGGGCTATCCCTACCTTCCTCCAATTACATGTCACGGGTCGACTCTTTATGACTATCTGAATCCTTCTAAACCCATATAACTTAATGGGCTGTGAAACATTTTGGTTACAATCTATGATATGAAATAATGCTTTGGTTTATTCCAAAATTATCTCTGAGATTTTGAGAGCTGTGTTCTTATCTGTTTCTAAATTCTCCTTCTACTCTCCCTCGCAGGCTTCTTTTTGACCCCTGGGCTATAGATCTCAGCCCATCCTCCATTAACTCGGTGGTGATTTCACTGTTGTGGCTGGTTCTGAGCTGAGGACCACATTTGCCAGCTAACTGCATTAAGTCAATCCGTGATGAAGCATTTGCTAGCCTGTGAACTACACACACTGTAGATAGCATTATTTTCTAGTGGTGACTGAATGTGGTATTTTAGTTCAGGAACATTGTTCAGTCATTAACAGATTGAGCTACATGGCAGAACTCATGATGAGGTTGTACATTCTTTTTTAGTTTGGAAGTTCCTTTGCCCCTTGAAAGTCTATCAACATTATAGCCATTCTTACTGTGAGTTCTCATAATGAGACTTATTTGTGAGATTTTGATGGCAGAACAAGGGATCCAGGAATAAATAGTAAATGCTGCTATAAACTGGAGTCACCTGACCCCAGAAGTTTCCTAGGACAGAATATAGATGAAAGATATATTGACACCTGCTTAGGCAAGCTGGATATGGGTTAGGCCAGGCCGGAGGAAAATTTCTTCCTTACTTTCAAGACCAGATCTTACCACCACTTAATTGTGTGGCAAGAGAAGTGGCCGGATAATCCAGGAGCAGGTCCTAGGTGAGTTTATGCTTCAGCCTCATGGGTTAGCAAAAAAAGAAGACACAAAATGATGTGCATCCCCTTTAAGACTCAGTGACCTTGCCCATTAGCAGGTGTGGCCCAACCCCATTCTAGAATTGTAGGGACACGAGGGAGGGTGGTTGGGGCTGGAGTGGTCTTCTAACCCCACTCCTTAGAAGCATTCCAATGATCACTCAGCCATTGTACCACACATTCTAATTGGCAACTTCATGTGCGCTATGCTTTTAGGCCTCACTCTCAGTTGAGTTAACATCATCATTTTACTGATGAGGAAATGCAGAACCAGAGGGGTTCTATCCCTTTCTTGCGAATCAAGGTCCTGCGAGTGCAGTGCTTCTCTTATATTTCTAGTGCTCAGTGTTACCGCAGAGATAGATCACTTCTGTGCATTGCTCTTTCCCCTCCAGTAAAATGAACAGTGCAGTTGTAGAAGTCATTCATAATATCAGTGGAACAATGTAAGAGTCAAAAGACTCAAAAAAAGTATTCAGATTGTAATAGTGTGGGGTTGTTTTCTTAAAATGCCTTTGCATTCTTAGGATAGGAGACTTTAGCATTGGGAGGGCTAACATGATGAAGAATATACTATGGAATTTTCATAGTTTACTTGAAAAATTGCTGGTTTGCATTTTCTCTTCATATTTTTAGCTGAATCAAATGTGTGTTGTAAGTGGTATTATTACATCAATTTTCAAAACAATCTTTTTTTTTAAGTTGTACCTTAATTTTCAATCCTGTTAGTTTATTTTTCAAATTATTGTCCTATTTTCATCCTGCATTTTCAATTATAATATTCAAATTTCCCTCCAAGTTTTTCTGGTGACCAGTTGTGAATATTGTGTTTTGGTTTATTGAACTATAAAACCCTGACATTTAGTAATAGGAGTAAAATGGTTTTTCTTTTATGTTTCTTAAGACCACAAACATTTAGTTAGCTTAATAATTATTTTTTGTTCTTAATGTTTACTTTATATTAAAGAGTTTTTAGATTAAAAACAGTCAATTATCATTATTATTATTTAAAAAACTGGTTTATTGAAAAGTTCACCTGTCTGTAAAGATATTATTGACAGTATTAAACTGATGTTTTAATTTTGGAGGGTGGGACTTTTTAACTGAGGTATTCTAATTTAATTATAATGCCTTCAGGAGATTTTCATAAGACTCACATGAGCTGAAACCCAGGCTTTAGACAGGAGCAGTGGCTTTTCAATGCCATCCTATAGGCAGGCACTGAAATTTCCTTTGTTAGTTCAGCTGTGAGATTAAGGAGTTAGAGTCTGTTATTTTATTACGAGATTCTCATTATTTTACTATCATAACAACACTAAAATATCTTTTAAAAATAAAAGATAGAAATATTATAATTGAAAATGCAGGATGAAAATTGCCAGGGCAATTTTTTGGTCTGCTACATCTACTTCCTTTCATTTCTTAGTTTCTAAAATTCTAGTTGTGTGGGTTAGTGTTACCACGAGATTGGCCTGAGTTACTTCTAATTTCTAGAGATATGGCATTGCTATTGAATCCTGCCAGTCTTTGATTGGCCTTGCTAACAAATTGCTTTTCAGGTTGTAAATTTCCCAGATTGATATGTTCAGGGGCAGTTTTCCCATGAGGATAATGAATCTTAAACTTCAGGGGCCCCTCCCGTGAGTGGGTGTTGTTTAAGGTTCTGTGCCTAATTTTGTTTTATATATTTTTCCTTTCCTTAAAGGTGGCCCTAAAATTGTATAAACTTCAGGCCTACCACACTTGGATTTGCCTCTGGCCAACAGGCTAAGTCATTGAAAACTGGAACAAAAACAATCATAAAGATATACTTGATTACTTTACCCATCAAAGTAATCATTAAGAATCAAAGGACTTATAAATTTTTTTTCTTGTTTTTTGAGGTAGGCCTGTAGTGCTGTGATCTTCCCTCTCAGGACTGCTTTTGCTGTGTCCCATAGATTTTGGATTGTTGTGTGTTCATTTTCATTTGTTTACAGAAAGTTTTTTATTTTTTTCTTGATCTCTTTGGTAACCCATTTGTTGTTTAAAAACATGCTATTTAGCCTCCAAAAAAAAAAAAGATATACTTGAGTTTTCAAAAACGTATTCAAGGTATCTAGTAGTAGCTCACAGGTTCCTTCCTGTTGGAAGAAATGACCTATACAATTATGTTAACTGTGTATCTAAAACCAGATGAACAACTGATGATTGTGAATGCAGTGGGAACAGAGTTTTAGAGGCTTATAGTCCTTGACAATTCCATTTTTATAGATTATCAGACTTTTGGTGAATTTCTTTTAGAAAAATAGATAATTTCAAATATTAGGACAATTTTGTGGGATATAGAAGTTCACTCTTTAATCTGTTTTCTATGTTTCTTTAATCATAGTAATTATATATGCCTCCTTCAGTTTTCCTCCAATTAGCCGTAGTTGTATGTATTTTAAAAATCCTCATAAATGATGAAAATGACAGTATATTATATGTGTAATATGAACTTTTCACGTTTCATTGTACACAGGAGATAAAAAAGACTGCAAGCTGAAATGATGTAATACTATCTTAATACTCAATGGAAAAATTATGATTGTTCTATGACCTTTAACAGTGTCAAAACATTGAAAACTCTCTTTCTATTGGTTATAAATACATAGAAATGAAAGTAACTGGAAAAGTAATATTTAGTATACCATGATTCAGAACATTAAATTAAAGTGTTTCATTTCTTTGTAAAACCTATCACTTGTAATATAACTCACGACATAAAGAGAGCATTTTTTCCTAACTCTTTGCAAATGTTAATAATCCTTTTTGAGTTTGAATCAACTTTAACTCCCTTTTTCTCCCACGGACACTATTGTGAACTATCTCCTGGGTTTCTTTAAGGTGAAACCCCCCTCCCTCCCTCCCTTCTTCTTCCCTTCC